CAGCCATGGGAGAATCAGAGAAACCTCATCTCCTGGGTAAACACATTTCAGAACCCCAAACCCAAGTGCCTGTAGTGATGCCCAGAGCTAGATTTCAGTTATGCTGCCTGTGCCACAGAACAACATGCTCCTGCACCATTCCAGGCAACCAGAGCTGGAGAAAATTCTTCACTCCAAATTTGGCGGTTTGCTCAGCCCAGTGTCTGATAGATATCACACAAGTCTGTAAGAAAGCTTTCTGTAAAGCGCTGATTGAACCACTTGAAGTACCACATCTCCAGTCCTCAAATTTTCTGATGATTTAAAATCACACCAGAAATCCACCACAATTTACTCAGCCAATGTGCAGAAAGTACAAAGTCCTGCTCAGCCTCTGGAGACAAAACCTGAGCCAAGAAGTGACTGTAACCAGCACCTCCACACAGACATGCTGTTCCCTGTAACATGCACGAGGGAAGGGATGCACAGACAAACACACAACTTATGACATCTCAGAACTTCTCAGAAGAGCCAAACCCCAAAAAGCATAAGTGATTCCCTATAAACCGTCCAGAACAGAAGAGCTCTCCCATATCTCTGGAGTGGTCATTCAAAAACATGGTGTCCTCACTGCTGGAAAACCCAGGACAGAACCTGTGCAGTACCAGCATTCAGTGGCAGGCCCTGTAGAGCCTGCTGTGGGCATTATCACAACAAAACAACCACTCTCCACTCCTAAGCCTCTTCCCCAGTGTGCAGCAGCCCCCCACAGCCATCCACAGCCACATATCCACAGTCACCCCAATCCATTCCACAGCCTCACTGCTTCCTTTCTCTGGAGCTGACTGAGTTAAGTAACTATAAGTGCTGCTCTTTGGGTTCTCCTCATGCTTGTGGCCTCCCTGAACTCTGTTTCAGTCCCCCTGCCCTGGCAGGAGTGACCAAAGCTTCACCGAGCATTGCTGCAGTTCCCATCCCTGCACACATCCAGCTGACTCCTCTCCCCGCCAGGGATTCCTGTGCTTTCTCCTACAGACACAGCAGACCCACAAGGGACAGCTGTGCCTGGCAGCTCTCCGTGGTCACTGGATCAGTTATAACCCGGATTCTGCCACTCACTAACCTGAACCTCACAACTGGAGACCTCAGTGCTGCCAAAGCCCCAGCCAGCACGGGGGGAACATGAATCCCTGGCAGAGTCTCACCCTCAAACACCTGCTGCTGCCTTAGTGTGGGCACCACATTCTGCGACCTGCTGGGAAGTGCCTTTGACTCTGCCCATTGTGCCCTGATGTTCTAGAGAGATACAGAACAAAGAACCAACTCAAGTGTCAGAAAAATATAACAGTTCAGGGTCTTTTAACCAAGCAGACCCAAAACTGACATCAAGAAATGAGAAATTCAGCAAAGCCTGGGATCAGTTTCCCTGCAATCCCTTCTGCAGCACTGCTGTTGCCACTGTGAACTTTGCCCCTTGTCTGGGGTTGCTCTTGCACCATGTCCCTGGGGCTGTGCCCAGGGTGAGCCTCCAGAGCCTGCACGACCTCTGGCACATCAGCCCTGCCCCGAGGGCAGGAGCTGGTCTTTCACAGCAAGGAGCTCACCAAGGGGAGAGGACATAGCACTGGCCATGGAAACCAGTGGCACAATGACAGCCAGCCGGGCCACCAAATGTCTGTCACACTGGTCAGTGTAACTAGGGGAGTACTGAGTGGGCCAAGTTCCCGGGAAAGGCACTTGGGAACAGCATCAGTTCCGAGCAGTTGGTCCCGGGACACGAGGCCAGGCCACACCACAGGCTCCAGAGCAGGAGCAGGATGAATGGTAGCACCCAGAGCCCGGCACAGCACCCACCCCTCACCCCATCCCTGCGTCCCCAACTCACCACCGCCACCAACGGCCTCCGGACCTGCAGGGCAACGGGCTGCACAACATCCAGGATGGAGAAGGGCCAGGAGCTGGAAGGGAGGAATTCTGCAGTGAATGACCTTGAAGCCACCCCACTGCAGGAATGCTGGCTCCCTGGAGCCACCCCCAGCCACCCCCCGTGGGAATTGGGAATTCCCGCACCTGAAGCGGAGCAGCCCGGCCCGGCCGTTGGTGGCCGCCTCCTCCGGGAACAGCAGCAGCGGTGGGTTCCCTCGCTGGGACGAGTATTCCTTCAGGGAATCCACCAGCTCTGCCCTGCTGCCCATCACTCCCAGCTCCATGAATCCCCTGGACCAGCAGATGAACCCTGGGGCACCATTCAGTGCAGGCTGCAGGAAAAACAGGAGTGAGGAGGAAACTGCCCTGCCCAGCCCTCCCAGTCATCTTCCCAAGTGAAAAAGAAGACAAGGTTCATGCTCATCGGCAAAATCCCCTCTGGGGCTGAGGGGCACCTGGGAGCCAGCAGCACTGGTGGCAGAGAACATGTTACTGCCAGGCCTCAGGACCTGCTCCAGCCCTGACTCCACAGGAATCAGATTCCAGACTTTCAGTTCAGACTGTACCCTGTCTGCCAGAGACACAGACTCCCCCATGCCAGTGTTCCTTGTGTTCTCTACAGCAGTCCCTGACACACTTGGCAGGACACACACTGCTTCCAGGAGTCTCTCCTCTCCAGGTCAGGGGCAAATCAATGGCTGTGCAGGACACGAGATCCACCCAGAGCCTGCTGACTCAGGAACTCCACACAGGGAATTTTAGAGGAAAGCACGGACAGCCCAGAACAGCCCGAGCAACATGGACACAGAGCACCCTCCATGCACCTGGCTGCCCCCCCCAAAACAGCATCCAGTGCTGAGGGAAACCCCACAACCAGCCCTGTCCCTGACCCCCTGATCCAAAAGGCCAGAGAAGGGAACAGCTGCTGGGATCTACCTGCTCTTCCACCAAAATCAACACCCACTGTAACTACTCCTGCTCCTCTTCACTCTGTTCCGTTTTTTCACGCAGCGCCCAAGAGAGAAACTGAGCCACAGAAAACACCCCAAGGCTTGTGCAACCCTGGGTTAGTAACTCAGAACTGGAGAACCTTCCAGGATCTGAAAGGGCCTAAAGGGAAGCCAGAGAGGGACTCTGCATCGGGGACTGGAATGATAGGACAAGGAGTAATGGATATGACTGTAGCAGTGAAAATTTAGGCTGGATATTAGGAAAAAACTCTTCTCTGTGAAGGTGGTGAGGCCCTGGCACAGGTTGCCCAGACAAGCTGTGGTTGCCCCATCCCTAGAAGTGTCCCAGGCCAGGCTGGACACAGCTTGAAGCAACCTGGTCTAATGGAAGGTGTCTCTGCCTATGGCAGGGGGTGGGACTGAATGGGTTTTAAAGTCTTTTCAGCCCTGAACATCCTACGTTTCTGTGACCACACCAACACCAAATCTGGGCAGCACTTCCCGTGCCCTGCCCCCAGGGAGGAGCCCTCACCGTGTTGCAGGAGGTGAGCAGGCTGACGACGTTGTGGTCGAAGGGGGTGACGTGGTTGGCGATGAAGACCTTGGCGCCGGCCCCGCGCAGCCGCGGGTCGTTCTGCCGCACCAGCAGCCCCAGCACGGAGCACATCACACGGACAATAAACCTGAGAGGGAGACAAGGGCCTGCCTCAAGTCCTGCCATCAGAGCCGCTGCTGGTGACACATCCAACAGACGGGGGGAACTGGGAATTCTGGTGGCTGCGCAAAGAACACCGAGACCAAATGGAAACGGCACATCTGGGGCAGGAATTGTTGGGAGGCTGTGGCTAGGACTGGAACACGGGGCATCAAGTGCTCGCTGAACTCCTGAGCAGCACACCCAGCTGATCCACACGCTCCAGACCAGTTCCTGAGCCCTCCAGAGGTGACCGCCAGCTCTGGGCTTGGCAGAAGAAGCACCTCCAGGGCTCCTAGGAACAATAAGTCTCGATAGCACAGCTCCCCACAGCCCCATGCCTCAACCAAGCCCCCCGGGCCGGGACCCCGAGGAGCCGGGGCCGCCCTCCCGCCCTGCACCCCGCCCCGGGCAGCAGCCGGGGCCCCCCGGGATCACGCACCGGCGCAAGACGCTGTCGGGCAGGGCACAGCTGACCAGGAACACGTGGACACCGATGAAAAGGCGGAGGACAAGCAGGCAGAGCCCCACGGGCGCGTAGAGCAACAGGGCCAGGAGCAGAAACCCATCGGTCGGGAACCTGCCGGGCAGAGAGCGGCGCAGGCCGCTGAGCGCGGCCGGAACGAGCCCCAGGGTCCCCCGAAGACCCCTAAGGAGCCTTCGCAGCCCACCCGAGGCATCCCCGGTGCCCCACGGCTTCACCCCGACCTTCCCCCGGGGCTTCCGCAAGACACTTTGTCCCGCCCGCGGGCCCCGCCCGCGCGACACCCGGGAGCCCCCGGCCCGCGGGCCCGGCGGGCGCTCATCGGTGCGATATCGAAAGAGCCGCTCGGGCCCGGGGCCGCGGGCCGGCTCACATCCCGCCGCGCCGCCCGCTCCTGCCGCCCCACACCCGCCGCCCATCTTGCCCGCGGCCCGCGCGCCCGGCCCGCGCGGGGCACCGCTGGGAGCGCGCCGCCTTGCCAGCCTGCACCGCGCGCCGCGCTCCCTCGCCCTGACGGCCGCTCCGGCGGGCCCGAGGAAAGCGGCTCTGACAGTGGACCAGCCCCGCTCTGCCGCTGCCCGCCGGCGCTACCGGTTACCGGCGCCTCTCGTTGGCGGTCAGCCCACAGATCCCAGCGGGACTAGAAACTGCCCGGCGTGCCCCGCGGCGGAGGGCAGCTCCCACCAGGGCCCGCCCACAGGACTACAGCTCCCCGGCGTGCCCCTCGCCGGCCTCGCCCCGGCGGGCGGGGCCTTCCGCTCGGCAAGCGGCAGTTCATGGGGCGGCGGCGCGGGAGAAGTGCGTGTCCCTCTGGTCCCGCTTTCCGCCCGTAGCCGTTGCGGTGGTGCCGAGCAACTCAACCGGGGGCCGAGCCTCCTCCGCCACCGCCCCCGCCCCCACCCCTTCTCCCGCCGGCCCCCGCTGGGGGCGGCGCTGGCGCGGCAGTGGGCGCGGGAGCGGCCGGCGCATGGTGGCTGTCTGTGGGCCCGGAGCGCCGTTTGCGGCCCGCGCTGAACGCAAGCCGTGCCCCCCCCCGCCGCCCGCTCCGCCGCCCGCCTCGCCCCGCGCCGCCTTCAACTTCATCGCCGACGTGGTGGAGAAAACGGCACCCGCGCTGGTCTACGTGGAGATCGTGGGCAGGTGCCGGCATCGGGCGGTCCGCGGAAGGGATCCCCGCTTCCCTGCGCAGTGCAGCCTCCGCCGGGCTCTCCTGCAGCCGCCCTGATCTGTGTCCCTGAACCGGACACGGCGTCCCAGTGGGGTCCCCCAAGTGCCACGGGAGAGACCGACACGGTCCCGCTGCCCGTGCACGCAGCTGGCACACGGGGACACGCCACGGGGACACACGGCTGCCATCCACCGCTGCCACCTCCTTGTCCTCCGGGACCGTCGAGCAGAGCTGCCTTTCAGGCTGCTCTGTCACTTTGCCTCAGGAGCACCGCTTTGCATTTATTTCCCTTTGCACTCCATAATCTCACCATCCAGCACCTCCAGCCTCTCGGAGCATCTCAGGGCAGCAGCTTTGCCCTCCAGCCTGGTCACACCTGTGTCCGGTGTCACACCCTCTGCCTCACAATGGGAAAAGCTGCTGCCCAGACATCCTCACTGTTCCCCGCTGCTTCCCAGCCCTACCCATCTGTGTGGCCCCACCTGCCCTCCCTGGAGTCCCCACCAGACCCCACAGGGTCCCTGCCACCCATCCTGACCTGTGCCCCCCTCGCAGGCACCCCTTTCTGGGCCGGGACGTGCCCATCTCCAACGGCTCGGGGTTCCTGGTGTCCCCGGACGGGCTCATCGTCACCAACGCACACGTGGTGGCCAACCGGCGGCGCGTGCGGGTGAAGCTGGCGAGCGGCGAGCAGTACGACGCCGTGGTGCAGGACGTGGACCAGGTGGCCGACATCGCCACCATCAAGATCAAGCCCAAGGTGTGTGTCACGGTGTGGGGACGTGGGGACCCTCCCTTCTCCCCTCCTGCTCACCGTCCTGCTCCCCACAGCACCCGCTGCCCACGCTGCCGCTGGCCGCTCGCCGAGGTGCGCAAGGGCGAGTCGTGGTGGCCATGGGGCAGCCCCTTCGCGCTGCAGAACACCATCACCTCGGGCATCGTGAGCTCGGCGCAGCGCGGCAGCCGCGAGCTGGGCCTGGCCGCCTCCGACATGGAGTACATCCAGACCGACGCCGCCATCGATGTAAGGGCGTGGGGCTGGGCAGGGCTGTGGGGGCTGGGGGAGGAGGGGGCTCACACGGAGCAATGGGAGCTGAGGGGGTTCTGGCCGGTCACCCGGGCACTCTGGGATCAGCCTGACCCAGTTCCTGGGATCGGCCTCCTGCCATTGCTGCCAGGGGTTCTCATGGTCTGCTCGCTCTCTCTCCTCTGCTGCAGTTTGGGAACTCCGGGGGCCCCCTCGTCAACCTGGTGAGTCCTGCTGCTTGTCCCCTTGCTGGCTGGGGTAGAGATGTGCTGTGTGCCCCTCACTCTGTGCCCCTCTACGGGAGCGCTTGTGGGTGCCAGGAGGGAGGGCCTGTGAGTCCTTCAGGCTCCCTGTGAGGAGGAGGATTCAGCCTGGCATGGGAACCCTGTGCAGCATCTGAGGGAGCCAGAGCCGATGGAACTCTGGTGGAGCTGAGCCCTGCCCAGTGAGGCATGGCTGGTGCTGGTTGGGCAGAGTGAAGAGCTGGGTGGGCTCAGCCCCTGGGCCCTGCCCGACCTTGGCAGGGTCAGGCAGGACACAGGAGCAGCAGCCTGGGAAGGGGTGGGCACGCAGCTGGGACCTCAGGCTGGTGCAGTAGTTCCCCTGCTCTCCACAGTGACCCAGGCTGGGTATCCCAGTGCCCTTTCCCTGCAGGATGGCGAGGTGATTGGGGTGAACACCATGAAGGTGACATCGGGCATCTCCTTTGCCATCCCCTCCGACCGGCTCCGGAAGTTCCTGCAAAGGGAGGAGCAGCGCAAGAGTGAGTGGGAGCCTCCCTGCTCGGGTGCTGGGGAGCAGGATGAGAGAGAGAAGCTCTGGCACAGCTGGGCTCCAAGCCTTTCTTCCACATGAGGGCAAGGAGGGCAGGAGAAGGAGCCTTTGGGGTCCCATCTGGCATGAAATTCTCCTGTGCCACTGGAAGGCTGTGCTGCTGCTGCTGCCCTACCTACAGCTGCCTGCCTCTGCTGCAGGTCAGATGTCCTAAGTAACCTGCATCTGGTGTGCAGTGGAAGTCCAGGTGTAGGATTCAGTGGTAGTGTAGAGGACAAGTCCTTCATTTGGCCATGTGGAATGCTGCCCCTTTCTGTGCCCCTGTGTGTGAGAATTATTTAAGGCAGACTTCTGTCTGGTTCTCCTGTGATGCCAGGGAGGGACATTCTCAGTCAAAAAAATGACAAACTGGGGAAGCAAAGTCAGTGCAAAGTGCAACACCTGTAACACTTTCCCTGGTACCACGAGCTGGACTGAGCTGTTGCGGGGACTGGGAATGGCTCTGCACACACTACCTGCCCTGAGGGCTGTGGGGCTCAGCCCAGCGCTGTTCTGAGTGTGTCTCTGTTTTGCAGCCATGACATTCCGTGTCCTTTCCTTCGGCAGGCTCTTGGTTTGGCAATGCAGAGACGAAGCGCCGGTACATCGGGGTGATGATGCTGACCCTCACTCCCAGGTGCCTGTCCTGAGCTCGGGGGCCAAAAGACTGGTCCTGTTGGGGCAGGCATGTAATGGGATCTTCCCAACTAACTGAAGGTGCCTGGTTTTGGTAGGACTGTCTTCACAGCTTAAACTTTCAGTCCTGAATCTCTTTGTCCTCACGTTGTGGTTAGACTACAGACTGGTCTAACGAGGCTTGCTGGGGGACCTTCTGGCTCTCTACAACTTCCTGACAGGAGGGGTGCAGCCAGGTCGGGCTCTGCTCCTGGGGAACAAGCAACAGGATGAGAGGAAAAAGCCTCAGGCTGTGCCAGGGGAGGTTTGGGTTGGATAGTGGGAAAATTCCTTCCTGGAAAGGGCTGTCCAGCCCTGGCACAGCTGCCCAGGGCAGGAGGGGAGACCCCATCCCAGGAGGGATTTAACAGCCCTGTGGATGTGGCACTTGGGGACATGGTCAGTGGTGGTCTTGGCAGTTCTGGGGGGAAGCAGTTGGATTTGATCTTAAAGATCTTTTCTAACCCAAACGATTTTGTGAGTCCATGAAGGACCCATGTCAGGAGCGAACAGGACCTGCACTCTCACCTCTGGGAACAGTTCTCAAGGACACCAGCTGCTCCCGTTCCTTGGCTCTTGCAGCCACCTTTAGGTGACCTTCAGCTGCCTTGTGGGGCTCAGCACGTTGCTGGGGGTGGTGTTGTGCCATGCTGGGCAAACACTTTTCAGGGCCATGCTCTGCCCTCCTAAAGCTCTCGTGACTCCCGTGGGCTGGTTGGGTCTGTGGGCTGCCTGCACGCATGGGTGCCACGAGCAGCCTCTGGGGCTCCTGCCTGGCCTCAAAGGGAGGAGCAGGTGCTCTGTGTCCCCTGAAGGGGGTGGTGGGGGCACAGCCAGCACTGCCGGCAGCCGCGGTGGGTGCCCAGTAGATGGTGCTGGTACTCGGCAGAACCCAAGGAATGTGGGAACCCAGCCTCCTGCTTCCCTGGGCACGCTGCGGGACAGGGTCTGTGAGGAAGCAGCGTGAAATGCGTCAGACGTGGCTCCTGGGAAGCGGGTCCAGCTTCCGCACAGCCAGCGAGCCGGTCCAGGGAAACCACCTGACTGTGAGGCTTCTTTGTCTCCAGGGGGAAGGTCTTCCAAGAAGGGATTGCTTGCCTTGGAAAAGGATGACTGGTCTGAACACGCTCATTGCAAAGGCCAGAACCTTTCCCTGGCACAGGAAGGGGAAGCTCTGTGTTGAGCACGGTGCAGACCCTGTTGTTCTGTCAGGAAGGGATGGCAGCTTGCACTGAGCTGTGGGACAGTGCTGTAGAGCTCTGCACGGACCACTGCCATATGAGGAGCCCTGACTGGCTGAGCAGGGACCTGGTGGGAGCAGAGCTGGGCAGAGACTGTGAGTGTCTGAGGCTGTAGGGATCAGAGCCACTGCGGTGTTTGAGGGAAGAATGCTGTTCTTCAGTCTGGATGCAGTCTGGAGTGCTGCATCCACTTCTGGATACATTCAGGAGGGACGAGAAGATATTGGGGAGAGTCCGAAGTGGAGCTGTGAGAGATGCAGAGTTTAAGCTTGGTTTAGAAAACTTAAAATCTGTGAGAAAGTTGGAGGAACTGGGATTATTTAGTCTCTAGATTCCAGAGGAAAGATGTGGGTAGAGCTCTGGTGACAGGTCTGGCAGGAAGAGGGGCATGGCTTGTGTTGTGTGTCCTGCCCAACCAGGGCAGAGAAGGGAAACTGCAGCAGGGGAGGGGTGGGTCTGACACGGGGAAGAGCGATGTGAGGTGGGGACATGCATCACCACAACTCTGATCCAGATGGCAGCTGCTCCAGTAGTTTCCAGCTCTCCCTGGCGCCACTGGGACTCTTGTCCTCTTCTTTTGACAGAGTGGTGGTGGTGTTTGGGGCTGGCAGCTGTGCTTGTACACAGCAGTGTGCAGGGACACAGGAGGGGAGGTTCTGTGTCTGGTCTCTGAGCCTGTGCAGCTGGGGTGGGGTGGGAGCCCTGCTCTGCTTCCAGCTCCATCCCTGATGCCAATTCCCACTATGCAGCATCCTGGCGGAGCTGAAGCTGCGTGACCCCAGCTTCCCCGACGTGTCCTACGGTGTGCTGATCCACAAGGTGATCATCGGCTCCCCGGCCCATCAGTAAGTGCTGCCCTGTGCCTCGGGACGTGCGAGGGAGCAGCTGTGCCAGGGGGGATGTGTTTAGCTCCATGTGTTTTGCTCCAGAGCAGTAGGGCTTGGGCCTTGCAGCAGAAACCACCTGGGCACCCTTGCCCAGGCTGGATGTCCCCATTGGCTGAGGTACCAGCGTGGCTGGAGGAACACCTGGTGCCACGGCCCAAGGCTCCTGTGCCTGCCCCTCCATCCTTCAGGGCTGATGAAGCTGAGTGGCTGCTTTGCCCACTTTGTGCTCCATCCGTGTTCTCCCCGCAGGGCTGGGCTGAAGGCCGGTGACGTGGTGCTGGAGATCAATGGGGCGGCGTCGCGGCGCGCCGAGGACGTGTACGAGGCGGTGCGGACGCAGCAGAACCTGGCCATGCTGGTGCGCCGTGGCCACGACACGCTGCTGCTGAGCGTCGTGCCTGAGGCGACGGAATAGCGGGGACCGCCCGGGGCTGAGAGCAGGACTGAGCTGTGTCTGTGCCAGCCAGGCAGGGCCTGAGAGCTCATGCAGGGCTGGAAGGAGCCAGGAGAGGGGCCCAGCCCGGTGCTTGGGTGACTTGTGGTGCAGCAGTTTCCCTCTGTACTCAAAATAAAGCACTTTTCTAGGGGCCTCCATGCCACATCACCTTCTCACAACAGCAGCAGTTGCCTGGTGGAGGCCGGGCCGCGTGGGACCCTGCCCCTCCTGTCAGTCCTCACACAAGACCTTCCAGGTGGAGCAGAGCTGGCTGTGCCTCCAGGGACCTCCTCAGCGTTAGTGGTGTCCTGCCACCTGCTCAGTACCCACGCAGCTGGGATCTCACTCCTCCATCTGTACCAGCCTGGCAGCTGTCAAGCTTCATGCAGCCCCTCTGTGGTGAGAGCAGCCCTGGAGCAGCTCTGGGACCGGCAGTTCTTCCCCGGAGTGCAGCCGAGCTGCTCCATGTTGCTGTGGCTGTGCCGTGTTCAGCCGGTCACATCGCTTCTGCTGGGAGCTCTGTGAGCATTCCGAGGTCTGTGCCCACGTCCCCTCCCACGCAGCAGCGTTCCAGGCCATGGTGAAAGGGGTGTTGATGCTGGACTTTGCCGTGGCCGAGGCAGCGTCTCCTGGCCCTGATGTTCGGGAGGGCCGAGGGTGGAAGCTGGGCCGGGGCTCTGCCTGTCCCACCCAGCCCAGTGTCCGCTCCCACACACACCCGGCCCCTGGGGACAGCTGGGCCCGTCCCTGTGCTGTGCAGCTGCCTGGCCGGCCCTTCTGGGAAGGAGCAGCTCCAGCCGTTCCTTGCCTTCCTGGAAGATCCCCCTCTGCCTCGCGGGCGGCGGGAGGACGGCTCTGGGCGAGGGCAGCCCGGAAGGGCCGCGTCCGGCCCGGTGCGATGGCAGGAATGCGGGTGTCGGGCCAGGCCCTGCCCGGGACGGGGCTCCGGGCCCCGGCTGTTACTTTGGGAGATGAAAGAAGCACAGTTCCTCGGGGGCTCCGCTCCTGCCCCCAGGCGCTCCCCTGCCCCGAGAACAGGCGTCCTTTCAGCAGCCCCGGCCTCGCCGGAGGAATTCGCTGCCCCGGCCAGCGCCGCCGGCGCGGGGGAAATCGCGGCGTGTCTGGCATAGCTGCTCCGGCTGCGCTGACCGCAGCGCGTTCCAGGGCCCCAGCCAAGGCCTGCCCCTCTCCTCCTCCTCCTCCCGGGCTCGGGGGCAGCGCCTGCTGTCCCCACAACTCGTGTGCTGCAGGCACGACCAGAGCACGGGGCTGAGGTCTGAGAGCTGGGCTGTGCCTCCCTTGGCCCTTGTGTCATGTCCAAGTGTCCCTGCCCAGCATGTCTTGGCCCTGCCAGGCTCTGCTCCCACACAAGTCGAGACAGCCCCTCTGTCATGAGCCCCCAGCCTCATGGGTCACAGCCCCAGGGTGGGATTTCTGCTTGATAACATTTGCCCTGGATCTGGTGCAGGGGAACCAGCACTTCACCACACCCCAGCTGTGCCAGAGTGACCCCTCAGTTCCCCCGACACTGCTGCTGGCCCCTTCCTCTCGCCCGCTCGGGCTTCTCCCAGAGCGGGGGAACCTGGTTGAGGGGGGTGCAGGCAGGGGGCTGCTGTGGGGCCAGCACTGTGTGGACAGGGGGACTGCCTCACTCCACCATCCAAGGGGGTGCAGGGGCTGGGCCAGGGGATGCTCCCACGCTCTGTGCCAGAGTGTGCCAACCAGCCCTGCAGCACGAGCTGTGCCATGCGGGGCAGAGAAGTGCCAGCAGCCACTGGGAAATAGAACTAACAACTTTATAGAGAAAATAAAATTACAACTGAGAGATGGGGTATGAGCCACCCCTGGGCAGCGCTGTGAGCCAGGGGTACCCTCACCATCCCTGTGGACCAGGGGCTCCTGAGGCCAGGCAGGGGAATGGGTCCCTGCATGGAGGGTGGGTCCTGGGACCAGCGCAGGGGTTGAGCTGTGGGGAGGGATGTGGAGTGAGAGGAACCAGGGCTGAAAGGGAGGAGTGGGAGGTGGGGTACTGCTGGAATGGGAAGGACTGGAGCGGTGGGGGGTGCAGGACCTCCCAGACCGTACCCGTGTGCCGCAGCCCAGGGAACGTGGGCACGGTCTTCTGGCCAGTGGTTGGGGTGGCGGCCCCGGGCTGGGAGGTGCAGGTGTCGGTGCCTCCAGCACCAGCCCCCCAAGGTGGGGAAGGGCAGCCGGTGGCAAGTCCTGGGCAGTCCCCAGCAGCAGCAGTGCCGGGCAAGAGGCCTCCCTGCCAGCCCCCAGGGGCTTCCTCCCACCCGTACGGGGTGAGGGAGGGAGATGCCCATCTCTCTGGGGTCCGGGCCCCTATGAAATCTGGTTGTTGAGCTGACCTGGGTACTGCTCAAACCGCTTGTTGGCCTCCTCGCTGAGTGCATCTCCTGTGGGCAGAGAGAAAGAGCTGTCAGCTCTGGTGCTGCAGGTGACCCGTCCTGCCAGCACCTCCCCTCCCACAAGAGCTGCCCACAGAGCCTCAGACCCTGCCCACCCCCATCCCCACTGCCTCCTGCAGCCACATTGCTGCCCTTCTCCCAGGGCAGCCCTGCCCGCGTGCCCTCGCCCCTGGGCCGTGTCCTGGGCGTTACCGATGTGGCAGCTGTGCACCCAGATGCGGTGCCCGTCGTACTTGCAGTTGCATTTCATGGCGTTGTTGGTGAAATCACTTTCTGCCACCTCGAAGTTGGGGTTGATCACAACCTGTGGGGCACTGACAGTGAGGGCACAGCCCCCTGTCCCACACCTTCCCAACCTCAGTGGAGCTGTGCTCAGGACATGAGCCCTGTGCCCCAGCCCCACAGGATGTGTCTCCCCAGCTGCCCTGGATGTGCTGAGGGCTCCGAGGAGCCACTGTGCTGGGGTGGCTCTGTCCCTGTGCACCGTGTGCCCATGAGCAGCACTGCTCAGAGCTGGAAAACTCATGCAGAAGCCTGTCTAAGCAGCCCTGCATGTCTGTGGGCATGAGGACAGGCACTGTCCTACAGCAGCACACCTGCCAGCCCCAGCCAGTGCCAGTGGGAGAGAGGGTCAGGTTGCTGGGGCATGTGGAGATCTGGGGCGTAGGGGCAGAGGGTAGGGGTGCACACGGTAGGGTGGCAGGAGGGGCCGGGGCGGCTCAGGTCCAGCACCTGCAGGATGTAGTTGCCTGGCTTGACGTCAGTGATGTCGATCCACTGGCAGTCGATGTCATGCCGGTACAGGTCCCAGCAGCCCACAGTGATGCCCTGCTCCCCGAAGTTGGCACACTCGTACCGCTTGGCCACATCTGCAGGCAGGAGGAGATGCAGCTCATCCCTGCTGCAGCTCCCTTCTGTAGCCCCTGTGATGCCCACCCAGTCTGGCCCCAGCAGCCTTGTGAGAGGGACACGGGCAGGGACGGTGCTGCAGGGTCCTGTGTCACTCACCTTCCTCGCACTCGGTGTCCTCCAGGCAGAAGCTGGCCTTGTGTCCCTCAGCCACCTTGGTGCCGTTGGGCGTCAGGATGTCGTAGTGGGTGAAGATGTCCATGCTGTGGTAGTGCCTGTGGGAGCGAGCCAGTGCCTGATGACTGGAACCTGGCAGAGGCAGAGACCCCCAGGGCAGACAGGAGACTTGCTCTGCCCTGTGTCAACCCCCCACACCACCTGGGTGAGGGCCTGGCCCCTCACCACCAGGAAGGTCCCCCCAGCCCCTGCTCCGAGGCCGTAGCACTGTGAGTTTGGGCAGAGCTCTGTCCTGCCCTGGGAGCGGACACAGCTGTCCCCAGCCAGATGGCCCAGGCAAGCAGAGGGCTCAGCCACAGGGCCCAGCCTACAGCCCTGTCCCTGCCCACTATGAGGCCTCCAGCCCCAACACTGCTCCTTCAGGGACAGCCCTGAGCCAAACAAGGGGCAGCAATGGTACCTCACTCAGCGTCAGCCTCACCCAGCGTTACCCTCACCCAGCATCACTCTCACTCGGTGTCACACTTACACAGTGTCACCCTCCCTCAGTGTCACCCCTGCCCAGCATCACCCTTGTCCAGTGTCACCCTCACTCAGCCCATTGCAGCAGCACCATCACCCTCTCCCCGTCCCACCCAAGCTGTCCCTGCCCACGCCCTGTCTCTGCCTGCGCCACACACGCACCGGTGGCACTCGTGCCAGACCCAGGAGTGCCGGCCAGCCTTGGGGCGGAAGTCGGCACGGCCGTGGTTGTGGATCTGGGAGGAGAAGCGGAGCAGGCGGCGGTGCCCATAGGGCCAGTTGGCCAGGCGGGCCGAGCTGGAGAGGCAGTTCTCCTCGGCGGCGCAGTACAGCATGTGCAGCGGCCGGTCCTCGATGTAGGCCGTCTCCTGCACCAGTGGCGCGTGCAGCAGCAGGTCGGAGGCAGCTGGGGAAAGGCAGCTGCTCTGGGACAGGCCCCACTGCTCAGTGGGGACAGGGCAGTGCCCAGTGCTGCCAGGGTTGAGCTGGCCGGGGGGGACGCGGCCCCATCCGCCGGGCACGGGCTGACCCTGCAGCGCCTTCATCTGCAAACCCCACTGCCTGCAGCCTCTTTAGCTGCATCCCTGGCCCCACAGGACTGTCATCCACAGCCCCCATTGCCCACAGACCCCACCACTCACAGCCCCCATTGCCCGCAGCCCCCGTGGCCGCTCACTCTCGGAGCAGATGATGCCCGCGGCGAAGCGCGTGCCCGTGTTCCTGCAGCTCAGGCTGGTGCCGTGGTGCTGGCAGTGGCTCAGGGACATCTCGTGGCCGGCGCACTTCACCCCGCTCATGACCATCTCTGTCACGTTGCTGGCGTCCCAGTACCACGTCTCCTGAGGAGGGGCCAGGCAGGGTGGGTGGCATGGCTGGAGGCCCGGTTGCCCCGATTCGCTCACGCCCAGGCTGCAGCCAGACCCCCACCATGCACAGCCCTACCTATGCCCCAGGCTGCCCACAAGGGTCCTGTCCTGCAGCATGGAGTGGCCATGTGCCTCTGTCCCCAGACAGCCCCAGAGCTGTCCAGGGAGCGCCGGTGTCTGTGCTCACCAGGGCATCACCGGGGGCCTCCCCGCTGGCACCTACCGTCACCGCATGCAGGGAGTAGCCCAGGCCGAGCTGACGACAGGCCACCATGGCCTCCTTTGTGGTCCAGCCATCGCTGCAGACCGTGCCCCACTTACTGCCTCGCTTCACCTCCACGCGGCCCTCGAACACCGTCCTCCCGCCGGCCAGGCGGATCTGCGGGGAAGGCCTGGGGCCGTGAGCAGGCACCCTGTGCGTGCCACCTCCCGCCCATCCCCAGCCTGTCCGGCCCTGTCCCCAGCCCCGTGAGCAGTGGTGGTGGCTGCTGGCTGCCCTGGCCAAGCTGGTGCCGGCACCTACTTGCAAGCCGTGGTTAGCGAATCCCAGACCCAGCTGGCGACAGGCCACCATCGCCTCCAGCGTACCCCAGCCTTCGCCGCAGACCAGACCCCAGCGGGGCTGGTCCCTGTCGCCAGCCCCCACCGCCACCTCGACCCGCCCCTCGAAGCGGCTCCGGCCCCCGCTCAGCCGAATCTGCAGAGAGAGGCAGTGGCAGCATCATCACCATTACGGGTGATGCTCCCAGGACTGGTGCAGTGACGCAGCCAGGGCTATGCTGTGGTGCCTGGCGGGCCCTGGGCCAGGGGCTTCAGGCACACGGGGAGGGGGCAACCAGGAACTGAGCAGAGCAATGCACAGCTTTGGGCAGCAGGGAACTTGCTGAGACTGGCAGACTGGGGGAAAGGGAATTGGTTGTGAGTTTGGGAATTGTCTCAACAGAGCAGGAAAAACAGTTCATTTTGAAATGGTATCATTTCAGAAATGACAGGTATGAGAGAGTTAAAAATCATTAAAAGCTCAAACTGGATGAAACGATGGGCCAGGGCAAATGAGAACAGACAGCTTCATTTGCTGGTTTCATCACAGGTAAAAAAATCTCTCTTGGTTGCCCACAGAGATTTTTTTTCTGATGTTTCTGCTGGGGAGTGGGCACAGGCTGGCAGCAGGGAGAGCAGCAGGGAGCAGCTGCCCCACATCACCCCTCACACTGCCCAAAGTCCCCTGCAGGGTCCCCTCTAACTCCCCCTCATAGGGATGCCTGAGACTCCCACCCACAAAATCCCTGAGCCCCCAAGGGCAGAGAGAAATGTATGGGGTGCAGAGGAGGAGAGACGAGGGGCCCCTCTAAAGTGAATCCCATGGGTCTCCCTCAGCTCCCCACTCTGGGGTCCCACTGCCAAGAGCCCCCCGTGGTGCGCACCAGGTTCTCGTAGCCCATGTAGGGGATGTTGCAGCGGACAGCTGCGTCCTCCGTGTGCTTGCAGTCCTCCTGCGTGATGTTCCTGAAGGGGCAGCTCCAGAGAGACTTCTCGGTGCCCTGGCACTGCACCTCGTTAAGGTGGATGGGTCCCGTCCCTGTCAGGGGTGAGCAGGACTCAGGACCCCATGACACGGGGATGACTGGGGCCTCCCTGTCCCCACGGCCACTCAGCATGCCCGAGGGGCTTGGTGCACTCAAGCCTCCACAGCTCCTGCCTGGGGCAGTGCAGTTGAGGGGCCATGGTCCCCTCAGGATGCTCCACGTGCATCCAGCAGCCCAGTGCCCACGGGACAAGCCCAGCCGTGGCTGCCCCCAGCCCAGCAGAGCCCAGAGAAGTGCCTCATCTGCAGCCCCAGGAGGGGATGTTGGCCCCTCTGGCCCGGCACCCTCACCTTGGCCCATGCGTGCCCCGGTGAGGGCCTCCTTGGCGCTGCCGAAGCCCAGCTCCCGGCACACCACGCTGGCCGACAGCAGGTTCCAGCGGTCGTCACAGATCGTGCCCCACTCGCTGCTCTTGAGCACCTCGACACGGCCCTCGCCGACCCTCGCGCCGCCCTTCAGCCGGATCCGGGGCTGTGGGGAGCGGGGACAGGGTGGTGTGGGACAGTGCGAACGCTGTGGTGCCGATGGCACGGCGGGGCACAGCACAGCCAGCGTGGCACAGCACGAATGGCGTGGTGCTGATTGCACGGCATGGCACAGCACAGCATGGCACAGCACAGCATGGCACAGCACGGCATGGCACAGCACGGCATGGCACAGCACGGCATGGCACAGCACAGGGCTGGCCTGGACTCCTGGGATGAACAGGGACAGGACACCAGCCCCACCTCATGCTCTGGAGCCAGTTACCCAGGGACCCACACACCCAGTCTGGAGTGCAGCCTGGGACAGAGCCCAGACATGGAGCAGTGTCTGGCTCTGGGCCACCACAGGACTTGTTCCCCCCCTCCACAGGGCTCACCTGGCCTTGCTGCTGCTGGCGCTGTTTCTTCTTGTGGGCATTCCCAGCAGCGAAGAGGGGCCCGGGCAGGCAGCTGACGACGGCGGGCATCCCGGCCCTGCAGGCAGCCGAGGCATTGCCTCGGTAGAACTCGAAGGTGCACATGGAGAGATGCACCTCTGTCCCCGTGCATGACACTGAGTGCAGGCGGTAGTTGAGCTGCTGCCGCTCTGTGAAGAGCCTGCAAGGAGGGAGGAGCCCTGAGCCACAGCCAGTGAGGCCAGTGGCAGTGGAAGTGTCACCAGCCACCCTGCCTGCGGCTGCATGCGCTGCTTGTGCCCCTTTTACCATCTCCAGGGTGACATGTAGTGCTGGCCAGGCACCCACCCCTCACCAACTGCCTGTCCCACATCCCCAGCAGCACAGGAACACGCATGGGGACACACAGGCTCTGGTGGGACTGCATGGGGCTCTTGGCTCTCAGGCTCTCCACTGGAGCCATTTACCTCTTCTTGGGCCCTACGTCCTCCCTGTGTTTTTGTTTAGGCTGAGATTTGGAGGCCAGCCTGGAAAACAGAAAACAACCATCACAGAGCCCAGGGCCTAAGGTGTCACTTCTGCCAGCAGCAGTGACACAGGGAGCACGGCCTGCCCTGGCTTCACTGGGGCTGAACTGGGCACCTTGGCCCACAGAGAGACTCATGTGCATCCCCTTCATGTCACACATGGGTGCAACAGCATCATGTGCTGCCAGCAGTGTGATACAGCTGCCCTCTGCAGCAATGATGCAGTTTCCTGCACACATTCCACAGGGAAACTGAGCTGGATGCAGCCACATCCCGCGCTGCCTTGTCACACAGCAGATCAAACATCAGCAGCCACGATTTGATCTGTCGGGTGTGAGTGAGGTGTCTCTGTGTCCTCATCCAGACACCAGACACCCTCACTGCACCGTGCCCCCGGGGAGCAGGACACCTGGCAAGCAGCAGCAAGCAAGTGGTACAGGAGGTGAGTGCTCACCCCGGGGCCACAGGGGCTGCAGCCTGGCAAGAACCTGCTGCCAGCGGAGGGAGCAGTCCAGGCACAGGCCAAGCTCTGGCCAAGCTTTCCTCTGGGAAGAGGAGGGTGCCCAGGGCCCAGCGCACACACAGTGTAGATGTGGTCCCAACATCCTCAAATACTTTGCTTTCCTCAGACAACAGAGCCAAAACCCCAGAGCCCACAAGGAATGAAGAGCAAAGTGGCCCAAAGCAGGGCAGGGGACTGACACCCTCAGGGACCAGGCAAAATCAAGCCTGGCCACTGGCCCCACAGCCCAGCAGCAGGTTGGTGTCAGCCTGCACAGCCCAGCGAGCCCCAGGACACAGCACGGGCCTGCTGGGAATTGGGATTCAGATGGCTGGAGGGCATCAGCCCATTCACATTCAGGAAGCCACATCTGGATCCTGAACCTGGTTCTGGGTCCCCAGGACAAGAAGACATCACGTACACAGTACGAGGACCGGGGGGAGCAGCAGGACAGCGGGGTGGCAGGGGGAGGGGGGCACGGGCTGCTCCAGTCGGGGTTGCTGTGGGTCAGGGGCACTGCAGCAGCTGACCCTCACCTGTGAGGGGCTGCTTGGCTCTTCCAGTGCAGAGGGAAGAGCACAAGAGAAAACAGGCGTGACTGGAAATGTAAGGTTCAGGCTCGGGGTAAGGAAAACCTTTTCCCCGTGAGGGCTGTATTGCATTGGAGCAGAGGCCACAGGGCTGCAGGATCTCCATCCTTGGAAGATTTAAAAAATCAGCTGGATAAGGTTCTGGGCTGACCCATAGCCAGCCCTGCTCCACGCAGTGAGTTGGACCAGGACTCCCCAGCGTCCCTTCCAGCCTGGATTAGCCTGTGCCCCACGTGTCACTGTGGCTGCACAGCCCCAAATTGATCAGCCTCTGCAAAGCAGTGCGTGGGTTTCCAGAACCAGCTCCTGCTCTGGGCAGAGGGATGGGAGCCAATGGCAACCTCATGNCCCCAGCGTCCCTTCCAGCCTGGATTAGCCTGTGCCCCACGTATCACTGTGGCTGCACAGCCCCAAATTGATCAGCCTCTGCAAAGCAGTGTGTGGGTTTCCAGAACCAGCTCCTGCTCTGGGCAGAGGGATGGGAGCCAATGGCAACCTCATGGAATCACAAAGCATTTTGACCAGTGCTGCAGGGGAAGGACCCGCTCACTGGGAAAGGGGCAGTCAGCACCAAACCACCCAGGAAACAGCACATTGCAGCAAGCAGGACCTGCAGGGGGGGTTTGAGGAGACCCCATGGACTGATCCTGCCTGGATTCCCATCAGCAGCTGCAGGAGCTGGCAAGGGTGGCTGTTGGTGACACAGGCATGGGAAGGGTCACAATGAAGAGCATGCAATGGCTGTAGGGCACCAGGGAAGGTGGTGGGACAGGAGCAAGGCCATGTGCTGGGGGCAGTGCAACATCTCCATGCGGCAGTGGGCTCAGGCAAGAGAGGTGCCATTCCACAGCCCCAAGAGAATGGGCTCCATCTCACTGCACCCACCACCAAACCCAGCAGCAGGATTCAGGGATGGAGGGAAAAGGCAGCCAGACCATTCCCTGGGTCTGGCAGAAAGCCAGCAAGATCGAATAGGCAGAGGATGCAAGAGACCCTGAGCAGATGTGGCACTCGGGGCAGGCACTGCCACGCTGTGCCCATCCCGCTGGTGCCCAGCACTGCTGAGCAAGGGCTCTGGTGCCCCTGCCAGCCCACCCCCCAGGGAATGGAGGGGTGTGCAGCCTTTCCAGCTTCCCCACTGCTGCTTTCTGCAGAAAGCAGCCCATTTCCACAGCCCTCCCTCCCCATCCACCAGGAGAGACAGCTCTGCTCCGAGGCCTCCTGCTCCTCACAGGGCTGCAGCACAGGATGCTGCAGCCCTCTCCACCACTCCCAGGGCATCCTGCTCACTCTGTGCCAGGACTCCTGCCTGGTGTGCAGCATGGGAACGGCTCTACTTGAGGCATGGCCAGCCTGGGAGAGAGATCGTCTCTCGTGGGGAACTGGGGAGCCCAGCACACACAGGCAGGTAACCCAGGGTGGGATTTGTCTTACTGGGCCAGCACAGCCCAGGCCCTCAGTCTGCTCCGTCCAGATCTGTTTGTGCCAGGATCCATTCTGACGGCAGAGACCGGTGGGGCCCGGCAGCCCAGCTCCACCACAGCTCAGCAGATGGGGCACCCCAGCCCCTTACCTGCTGCCTGGCCTCGGGCTCCGGCCCTTCATCCTGGCTGCTCGCTTCAGCCGCCTGCAGAGCAACACTAGAGCTGCCTGGTCAGGGCACACCCAGCACCAGGCACCACGCTGGGCACCGCTGTGACAGCGTGTCCCTGCCCCTCACCCAGGCCACAGTGCTGCTGGAGTATCCCAGCCTGCCTTGACTGCAAACCTCCCCTCAGGATGGGAACCCCCACACTCTGCATCAGAGGAAAATGATATTGCACCACTGCCAGGGAGTAAAAGCTGCTCTCTTGGAGTGGCCTCTGCAGTAGGGCATGAGGCAGGTGGGCAGCCACAGCCCCCCAGCCATGCCACGGACTCCTGGTTCGGTTAGCGAGTGCCCATACGGCCAACTGGCGCTCGGACTGGAGAGCAGCAGGAATGGGAGGGATTCTGGGGAGCCACAATACCCAAAAGCACTGTCCCCCCAGCACTGCCCCATGTCCCTGGCACCATCCCCAGCTGTGCCCCCAGCCCCATGCCCCTGGCTATTCTCCAACATCCCACCTCCATGGACTCCCTGCTGGCCCCACTCACTTGTAGAAGTTCCTGTTGACCTTCTTCTCAGCCGGGAAACCCATCATGCCGCAGATGACGCGGCTGTTGTGGCTGTCCCAGCCCTCGTCACAGATCTGTGCCCAGCTGTCCTTGTAGCGCACCTCCACGATGCCCTCTGTCACCGGCAGCTGCCGCCGCGCCCCCGACACCACCGGCCGCAGGCGGACCTCCTCCACGTGGCTCTGCTCTGTCTGCAGGGCTCAGGTCAGCCTCGGCTCACACTGCATCCCGCTGCCCCAGCTCCCGCCAGCCCACTCCCAGGGGTGCTCTGAGGATGCAGTCACGGGTGAAGCACAGGGATGGCCAGGTCCTGCATCCCTGCCGGCCACATCTAGTGGCCCTGGGTGGCCAAGGACCCGACCCTGTGTAGCCCATGCCCCTCATCACCCTGGGTCCCCAGGTGCACCTCCAGGGAGCACAACCAGGAAAGCCTCCCGTCACCTTGGGATCCTGCGCCATGAGGGAGAGTGCCCAGAGCACCCCACACCCAGGCACCCATCCAGGATGCTCTGTGGGAGCGTGGTGCTACCCACCCTGGCTATCAGCTTCCTCACCTCAATGACATTGGAGTCCTTGAAGCCTGGGATGCGCTCATCCTTGCAGATGACACCCGCGTCTTCCTCATGGCTGCAGTCGCTGTTGCCCCAGCCCCGGTGTTTGCAGTCCCCGATGCTCTTCTCTCCTCCGGCACAGTTCACGTTGTCTAGCCAGATCCGCCCTGCCAGACACGGGCCGGGGTGAGGGAGCAGAGAAAGTGCCCAAGGAGCACAGCCAGGGACCATGGGGGTGCACAGCTGGACCGGGGCTCCCTCAGCACAAAGGCGAGGCCAGCAAAATGCCAAGACTAAAGCCCTGGGTGGGAGATCTGCAAATGGGGAGTCTCCAGTTCCCCAAGGGGCTGCTCTGACAATCATAGAGCCCCACATAACATGCATAAAGCCCTATGTCCTGGGCTCTGAACAGCCCTGCACATACTACATCTCTACACCTCTGCCTACACCAACCTGAGCCCACCATACTGGCCCCCCTAAGCCATGTGTAGCCCCGCAACAGCCCCTCACACCTGCACAGCAGCTCACATCCAAACATTCACAAGTTCCCAGTCCACTTTGCATGTGCATAGACACACACACACACATGCACACACACACGTGCACACACAACATGCACACACACATGCACATGCACACATGTGCACACACACACATGCACACGCCCACGTGCACACACACACACGTGCACACACACGTGCACACACACACATGTCCACACACACGTGCACACACACACACGTGCACACACAACATGCACACACACATGCACATGCACACATGTGCACACACACACATGCACACACACATGCACA